GATGGCGAGCCTGCCGCACCCCACCGCCCCCCCTCACCTCTCCGCTCCTCGCAGGACGACCGCAAGGAGGGGATGACGGCGTTTGTGGAGAAGCGCAAGGCGAACTTCACCGACAGCTAAGCCAGGTGCCGGTCCCCGCAGCCACCTGCTGCCCATCAGCCCCCTGCGTCCCCCTGCGGAGGGGGGTCCGGGACCCACTGGCGAGCGATGCTTACCTGGGGTGAGACAGGCAGCAGCGGGGACCACCTTTGTCATCGCTATTAAAAGGTTTTCCTGGCGCTGCCGGGAGATGGGCGTCCTTGCTGTGGGGTCCCTCCTGACCTGGGAAGTGCTGGGGTTCACCCCCCACTCCATCACGCTGCTCTCCGACGCTGGGCTGGGCAAGAGCAGCCTCGTGGAGCAACAGGTCCGTGTGTCCCCTGGGGAGGGGACAGTCTGCGGCACCTTCTTGGGCACAACACCAATGTGCTGAGTTTGCCCAGCCTCAGCCCCACCAGGGCTGAGCTGAGGCTGGGGTGACGAGCTGAGTCCCCCACCCTGAGGCATCATCCTCACCCTGCCAGGGGTCTCGGGGTGAGCCCAAGGAGGGGGTTTCCCCAGATTTGGGGGCCCTGCACTTAGTGATAGGTTTCTGGCGGCAACGAGGAGCCCACCGGGATGTGGAGGGGGGGAATGGGTTTATTGGGGGGGCTCATGGGTGGGTAGGGAGGGGCGAGTCCCCTCAGAAACCCCCAGGGGTGGCTTCCGCCCCTTATTTTGCAGCCCGGGCACATATCGACTCAGCTGTGGTGGAGATGGTCGCGGTCCTCCTCCGGGCCGTTCTGTACCTCCAGGGACAGCTTCCAGGGTGGCCTGCTGGCATCGGCCTCCCCGACATCATCCTGGGGGTGGTGGAGGTGGTCACGGTCCTCCTCCGGTCCCACCTGGGCTTGGCGGGGGCCCCATTGAGCCCCGGCGCTGCTGGAGAAGACCTTTACACCCGGTTCCACCTCTTCGGTGATCTCAGGCTCTGGTGGCTCCACCGCTCGTATGCCCAGGATGCTGGAAGAGGGGAGCAAAAACAGCGGGGAAAGGTCGTGGTGCATCAGAATTTCTAAATATCCCCCTGCCCCAGGGGAATCCCACCCCACCAGGGTGCAGGGACCCTGGTGAGACCGACTCCCCCCCCCCCAGGAAGCTGTGGTTAGGGAAGGAAACAGGCTAATTTAGCCGCTTGTCCCGCAAACAGGCTGGATGGGTCTGAGACATTGGCACCGCAGCACCCGCAGCTCCCCACCGCCACTAGCAAAGGGAAACCAGCTGGGGCTTGATGCTCGGAGAGGTTGGGTGAT